AGTATCCTCTAGCAACAGGTCTCTAGCTTTCCCTCCCTCAAACATTGCTGCATATTAGAACCACCTGGGAAGGTTTTAAAACTCCCATACCCAGGCTGAACCTGTACCTAGAGAGTTGAATTTTAACAGTGTTTCTCCACCTTGGTCCTATTGACATTTGGGACTAGATTAATTCTTTGCTGGGGGGTTGGGGGGGAGGGAAGGGCGGGTAGGGCTTTCCTCTGCACTGTGGGATGTTTAGCGCCATCCCTGGGCTCTACCCACTAGATGCCAGTTGAACCCTCCCCTAGTTGTAATAACTAAAAGTCATTGCCAAGTGTTTCCTGGTGGAAGGAGCAAATCACCCAACTGAGAATCACTGCTCTAGGGGCCAGGATCCAGGCATCATATTTTAAAAAATCTTTCCAGGTGATTTCAATGTACAGCCAAGTTTGAGAACCAGTGCTCTGATGGAGTTTCCTTTGAGAAGTGTATCCTGGTGGAAAGTCCCGGGAATTTTGGAGTGGGTTTTTATAAACTGTGATTTACTATTGATCAGTAAGAATGGATCTATTCGGAGCCAGATGAGCAAGCAGTTCCACTCATCCTAGCTAGTAAGCATCTGTTTCTTTCTGTCAAGTGGACTTTGGAAAACAAAGAGGCTGTGAACATCTTGAGAGGCTAGCAAAGCCAGCTGTGCCTGTAACTTAGATTCTTTACAACAAGCTAATGAAAGGGACCTGAGCTAGTGAAAGGTTTCAGCAACACTCAAGGACCCATGGGGTGTATCTTACTGGTGCCACGATAATACCTACCATTGACTGGAGGTTCCCTGTGGGCCAGGGTCTTGTGCTAGGGGATCTATTTACATGCCATTAAATAAGATATCTAAGTTAATAATAATACTAACAATAATAAATAGGTCTGGCTTAAGAAATAGGTACATCAGTACTTCTGAAACACGTGTTAAACCTAACTGGTGTACATAAGAACGTACACATTTTTAGTATGCTCCTCAGTCCCATTGTGGCAGGAACTCTATTTGGCTTACAGCACACCCTTTCCATCCTCTTTCTACTATGGAAGCCAGAAAGCTAAACACTTGCCTTCCAGATTCCTCTGCTGTTGGGAGTAGCCACATGACATAATTTTGGCCACTAAGAATGCAAGCTCTAGGAGGACAGAGATTTTTGTCTATTTTTTTCTCTGCTGGACAAAACTCACCAAATTGTACACTCAAAAAATGTCCAGTTTGGGTGGGAGGATAGGGCAGATGTTGTTCAAGGGTACAAACTTGTGTCCAGAAATAAATAAGTCCTAGAGATCTAATGTACAGTATAGTGAATATAGACAACAATATTGTATTACAGTCATCAAATTTGCTAAGAGACTAGAACTTAATTATTCCAACTACCAAAAAGAAATGATAGTTATGTAACATTATAGAAGTGTACAATGACAGTCACATTACAGTATATAAATGTATCCAATTAATGTATTGTATACCTTAAATTTACACAATGTTATATACCACTATATTTCAATTAAAAATGTCCAGTTTATTAAACATAAATTTTATTTCAATAATGTGAAAAATAAAAGAGCAATTGTTAGAAATTTAAAAGGCAAATTACAAATTAGAAAAACAAATTTCTTGGCCCTTCAGGAAGCTGAGGTGAGAATCGCTAGAGGAGGGGAAACATAAAGTCCCTGTTTCACTCAATTTCAGGTCAATTGCAGAGCTAGCTGAGATTTATCCTGCTAACACTAGATGGCACCATTGTATTGTGCAAAAGTAGCTGACGTTCAGGAGTGCTTATTTAACATTCAGGATAGGGTCAGGCTCTTCAGGTGTTTGAAGATCGTTCATTCCCTACCCCCAATCCTCTCCCCACCCCATGCTAGAATATGATTGCAGTGGTCTTATAGAAACTCCCTGAACCTTGATTTTTCTCTTGTTTATGATTCATTCTACATCCTGTGCGCCCAATACTGCTTGGGGCCAAGCTGGAGGGAGGGTGCCAGCATCAGCTTGTCAATGGTTAGCTGAGGTGATTAGATCAATGATATTTAATAGTCGTATGATTTTATGATCCTGTTGCCTTTTCAGGAGCAATTCTTAAGTGCAATTTTGCTTTGCATTTTGTTTTTTTTTTTTTGTTTTTTTTTAGCTGAGCCATCCTGCCACCTGTTGGCAGTTCAGTGGCAGCTCAGCTTGGGCCAGGAATTGAAACACTGTTGCTCAGAGCTCAAACTCTTGAGCTAGCTCTTAACCAACTAACCCACTCAGCCAGCCCTGCTTTTCATTTTTTAATATAGATGATGTAACCAAGACTGCAAATAAATTCATAACATCAAAAGATATATCAAAGGAAGAGATTATGATCTAGTAAACTCCAGAGAGACATTTTCCAAGGAATTACCTTTCTAGAAGACATGAACTGAAGAGACAATAGGAAATATCCATGGCGGGGAGTATGAGGGGAATAAAAGCTTTCCCCAATAAGTGTGGGGAGTCTCCATTGGAGAGATTATTTTAATCAATGTGCAGATATCAGTTTTAGAGCATTTCCATGCAAGAGAGTGGAATATAAGATGTGTGGGAAAGGGCTCAGTTTTAACTCAAAATTGATTCAACACCAATACACACAGGAGTGAGACCCTTCAAATATGTAGCGTGTGAGAAAACCTTTGGATATAACCCCAACTTAACAGCAGAAAGTCCACACTGGAGATTTTTTTTTTTAAGATTTTTTTTTTTAATTGGGGAATTGGGGGGATGGGAACAGTGCTGGGGAATTGGGAGAAGGGGAACAGACAAGTTGCTGTCGTTTTTTGTTCTTCAATCTAGTTGTGGAGGACATTGCTTCACTGGCCCAAGTTGGCACCATCATTGCGTTCTTCCCCGGGCGAGACAGATCAGTCGCCGGCTTCTGGACGGCTACTCACGCTGGCTGCTGGCTACACACGGTAGCCCATGGCAACCCACTGCCACAGGGACTGCAGCCCACGCCGTCGCCGGCGACTCACGGCAGCCCAGCTCCAGGTTGAGCTGTTGTTCAGCATCTTAGCTGTGGAGGGCAGTGTCACTGACCCTCACTGACCCTCATATGTGGGATCCGAACCGGGGCCCTCTGGCATCCCAAGCGAGTTCTTAACCATCACACCACTCGGCTGGCCCCACACTGGAGATTTCAAGGTATCTCAATGTAAGGAATGTGAGAAAGCCTTCAAGGTGTGTGCAAAACTAATCTGGCATTACAAAGTTACAGTAGGGAGAAACCCTTCAAATATAGAGTGTGAAAAAGATTTCAAGTATGGTTCTTACAATACTGGGCATCAAAGAATCCATGAAGGTAATGAATGTGGGAAAGCTTTCAATGTCAATGCAAATCTAGTCAGGCGTCAAAGAAACTATAATGGGGATAAACCTTATTTATGTGTGGAATGTAGGAATAGTTTGGGCTGTAATTCTGACCATCTTCAACATCAGAGAATTCACACTGGGAAGAAACCTTATGCGTATAACCAGAATAGAAGAGCCTTCTTTCTATGTTGGGAGACTGTACCATCAAAGGACCTGTGGTTTCTGCAGTAGTCATGAAGAAACTGACTTCCAGATTACAGCTGGGGCTTTTGAACCAGGCTGCCCCTGTGTTGAGCTTTCAAGGTTTTATGATTTCTTATTAAATACCATTTTACTTGTGACTTATGGTATTAACAAAGTTTTAACCATAACTGAATCCAAGTTTGGGGGCTTACAATTTTTTTATTTACACAAACTGACTCCTTGTGCACGTGTACAAGACTTTTATTAGGTTATAGGAATATAACCTACAGGATCATAGGGTATGTGCATTATCTCTATTAGCTGTATAGTGGATATTCTCATTTTACTCTTCATGTTTCATAACCTCTCTTTTATATTTTCCACCTCTGTCAAACTGTGCTATAGCCTATGTCTGTATTATTTTACCAACTTTCTCATCAACTGGTCTTCTGAGCCTCCAAGAATATGAGTAGGTTACCTGTCCTTCCCTGTAAGCTAGAGTGCTACAGTCCCTCCATGGAAGCTCTGTCCAGCCAGAAGCCCCCCAGAAGAGACCGTCTGGCTGTATCCAGAGCAAAAAGCCAGGCAGTTAAATTCTGCCGAGAGTCTAAATCCCCTTTGAATTGCTTCTACCTAGTTGAATTTGAACTGAATTACGGAGTTTACAGTCCAGCCTCATCAGGGCCTGTTATTTAGCTGTCTATGGAAAAATGGGACTGGAAGTGTTTGCAGGGCCCTGAGACATGTTAAGGACCTCAGTGACTCAGTTGAGGTAATGAGAATAGAAGTAGAAGCCAGGGTCATCGTGCAAAGGTGGCCAAGAAGCCTCCTACATCACTGTGAAATCTCGGGCATGTCTCAGCTTTCTAGAATTTAGTTTCCTTATTGGAATAACGGAGTGACCTTGAAGAGAAGGCACATCTCCAAACATGTTGTTCTTTGTCAGGCCAAGGGCATTGAGACAATGAACGTTGGCCATTTGGGAGGCAGTTTGGATGCTAATAATGTGTAATGGGAAATTAAGAATACCTAAAGATAAATTTCTAGAGATACCAGCCAGAAGGCTGAATACGTGTATATGCAGTTCCTATAGATGTGCTTGTGCCTCTAGTTACAGCTGTTTCTCCTTATAGAGCAGCTTGTGGCACAGGACTGCCTTGATGCAGCTTTTCATGACCCGTGACTGGGCCTTTTAATAGCCTCCTAACTGCTCTCTTGCCCAACTTAAATCCATTCTTCACCCTGCAGTTACACCTTGACTGACTGCTCTACAACGAAATCTGACCCGCTCCAATGAGCAGAGCCAGCTCGAGCGCAGTCACATAGAGAAGCCCCAAATGCTAGCGCTCATCCAGGTTAGCCCTGGGCTGCCTCCACCCCATGAGAAGTTTGAACGGCAGGGCCACCGTAGGCCCCTCGGAGAGAAGGCGTTCTCCTCCTCCCAGGGGCCCGCCCAGGGGAAAGGGAGCGAGACCCGGACGAGCACGGGGCGTCCTGGAGGAGCGGAAGCGCCGGTCCCCGCAGGCGGCGCCGGGGGTGACGCTTATCCGGAGCGCCGCCAGCCCGCCCGCCGTCCCAGGTGTGTGCGGGGTGGGGAGGCTGCGGTCCCGCGTCCCACGCGGGCGGTGCCGTGGAGTCCCGGGGCCTCCGGGAGGCCGACCTGAGAGGGGGCTGGGCGGCGGCGCGGGGCTCGGGAGAGCGAGGTGCTGGGGCCGCCCCGCCCTGGATGGCACCCTGCCGCGGCGGCCGCCTTGGGAAATGGGTTCTGAGGTTGCGGGCCGCCCGGTACAAGCTGTGGCCCCGGCTGACCGACCGGCCACAGTTGATTCCGTTACCTTGTCGAGCGCCTGCTCAGGGTGGAATTCCAGGTTACGGGGATGCAACTGTGAATGAGACACGGGGAACTTGCCATAATGGGAAAGTCGATATTACTCCAGCCTGAGCCTACTTCTGCCCCTGCTCCTAATAACCGCATTGTTTGGGGGCAGAAGACCGTGGTTCTGAACGTTCACAGGCCCCGCGTGGCCCGGCCTCTTGCAGCTTCTTCACCCCGGGTTTTGCAGCACGCTCCCCTTGGCTCTGCTACAGGCTCCTTGGCCTTGTACTTCCACAACATGTGGTTCCTTCGGTAAAGATGCCTTCTTTGGCCTCGTTCATTCCATTTCTCGGCTAGGGCACCCCCCTGGTTTCTGTGGCACAATTTACCTCTTCCTAGATTTTCAGAGCAACACACCTCTTTACGAGCACTTAACACAGTTGTAACCTCACTTATTTTAGTGCAAGTTACACGAAAAAATATTTTTTCCCGTCTGTGTTTGAATCCTTAGTGCCAACCATATTGTCCTACCCAGAGTATATCTCAATAAATATTGACTGAAAAGGCAAATATATTTGTAATCACAGTGTGAGATACCTGGTATAATAAAAGAATATATAACAGGCAGACCTGACTTAATTTGGATCTTTCAGGTATGACTTTCAAATTGAGACCTGAGGGTGAAAAGGAGGTAACCAGCTAAAGAAGGGGCAAGTTGGGAGAGGCTGTTAGAGAGGCAGGGGAATAGCAGATGCTAGGGTTCTGATTCGGGACCCCGTCAGCCAATTAATACATGCACCATGACATTTATTCTAATTCAAAAAGCAGTGATATAATATTTCTAGTGAGAAAATTGGGGAAACGCTCAAAATGGCACAAAGAAAAACTAAAAATAATAAGACCACCACTCGGAAATACCACGTTTTTAATTTATATCCATCGAGTGGTTTTGTAGCTATAAGTACACAGATGAGTTTTTACACAATTGAAAGATGAAATATAAGTAGTTTTAGAATCATTTTTCACTTACTGCATTTAAATATTTTCCCATGTTGTGAAATATTCCACATGATTTTTAATGGCTGCCTTATTTTTACTTAGTTGTACCAAATTGTTGGCTATAGAAGTTTGTGTCCTTTTCATGTGGGAAATAACAGTTGACCCTTGAACAAGATGGGTTTGAACTGCATGGGTCCACTTGTACATGGACTTTTTTCAATGAACACCTGTATTGTTTTCCATCTGCAGTTGGGAGTCTGAGGCTTCAGCGGGCCAAGTATGTATGTTGATCTATGCCATTTTATGTAGGGAACTTGAGCATCTGTGGATTTTGGTATCCGCAGGGGTCTTGGAACCAATCCTCTGTGGATACTGAACTACAGCTTAAGTTTTGGGGGAGTCAAAAGTCATACATGGATTTTTGACTGCACAGGAGTTGGCATCCCTTAACCCTGGAGTTGTTCAATGGTCACTACAGTGAATGCTAATGAGCAGAAATCTTTGGGCACATCTCAGATGCCTCAAGTTGGAATTTTTAGAAATTGGTTTTAAAATTTAACTACTTAAACAATTTTAAACAGTCCTACATGTACTTGGTAAGAAAAAGAGTCACATAACTAAGACTATGGTTAAAAAATAAAAGAGAACTCTCCCTTTCTATTTGGATCCTCAGGTTCATCTCCAGAGGTAACCCTAGTTAGTTTTCTAAATGAGAGCAAATCATACACGAGCGAACTTGGCATTTTATACTTAACAGTATAGCTAGGAGTATTTTAAAGTAGGTATTTGTCCTTAGGGAAAGATGTAACAATATACACTCCTACCAGCAGGTACTGGGAGTGTATGCTTTCCTACACTTTCTCCATTATAAAGAATTATCCATTTTTCTTTAAAAAGTTCTCAGTTTGATAGAAAAATGATCTTTTATTGTGTTTTTGGCCATTTATTGGTGAATTACCTATTAATGATGTTTTCTTCTAGGGTGTTCAGCTTTTGCCTATTGATTTTGTAAGGATTTAGGATATTAACTATTTTTTGCACATGTTATAGATTTAGTTTCCCAGTTTGCCTTTGAAGTTTTCCTTAATCATGTTTAAAAGTAGTTTATCATTCTAAGAGTTTTCTCCTTCTTTGTCACCTGGCGTGTGGCCTCACCACTGTGCTGTAACTGCTCCTGCTAGATGTCTCTGGACCCTGGGATGGAGACTTACCTTCATTTTCTTTCGTTTTGTTTTTCACCCTCAAAATTTTAGTGTATATGTAATTTATTTCAATGTATGGCAATAAAGAACCTAATTATATATTTTCTCCTCAAAAAGTTAATCGGTTGTCCTAGTGTCATTCATTGAATAATCCCTCCCTTTTCCCCCACTGATTTGGAATGCCATTTTTATGATGTACTTGATACTTTAGTCTTTCCAGGGTTTTAGATTCAGTTTTATTGTTATGGTGATCTGTTCTTGTATCAGCCTGCTTTGTTATACATTTAGCATCTGGTATTACAGGTTTTTCTCTCTTATTTTCCCTTTTTATTTAAATTTTCATGGTTATTTTGACTATTTTTCCATATCAACTTTAGAATTACTTTATCAGGTTTCTAAATAAATTCTTTTCATAATTTCTTTTTTTTTTAAATTGGGGAATTGGGGGAAGGGGAACAGAAAAGTTGCTGTCATTTTGTTCTTCAGTCTAGTTGTGGAGGACGTTGCTTCACTGGCCCGAGTTGGCACCATCATTGCGCTCTTCCTGGGCGAGGCAGATCAGTCACCGCTTCTGAATGGCCGCTCACGATGGCTGCTGGCTACACACGGTAGCCCATGGCAACCCACTGCCACAGGCGCTGCAGCCTACGCTGTTGCAGGCGACGCTGTCGCAGGCGACTCACGGCAGCCCAGCTCCAGGTTGAGCTGTTGTTCAGCATCATAGCTGTACAGGGCAGTGTCACTCGCCCTCATATGTGGGATCCGAACCGGGGTTCTCTGGCATCCCAAGCCAGCTCTTAACCAACGCGCCACTCGGCCGGCCCCATAATTTCTTTGAAAGTAATATTGGTTAGCTGTTAATGAGTATGGCTTTTAAAATCTGTCAAACTTGGCTTAAAATCCAAGTTTGACCACAAACTTGGCTTAAAATCCAAGTTTGACCATCTGTTCTTTATGTGAACTTGGTCAAGTCTCTCTTAATCTCTTAGCTTATGTTTACTCATCTGTATGAGAGGGGGTCATGGGGCGGAGACTGAAAACCTAAATCTCATTTAAAGGCATGTTGTGAGGACTAAATAAGATACGTTCAAAGCATTTAGCATAGTGCTGAGCATGTATAAGCTCTTAATAAAAGGAAGTTATCAAATTTGTAGGTTCATTTGGAGAAAAGTCAACATTTACAAAAAATTTAACACTTGATTATTTCCATCCAGGAACAAGTATGGCCTTTTCGTTTATCTTTCTCAGTAATACTTTATCATTTTCTTTATATAGATTTGACATGTTTTCTATCGTTTATTCCTGGCTGTGCTTTTTCATGTGCTTTTGTTTATATATGTATTTTTGCCCTACTGTATTGTTTGACCCAACAAGAGCGAGCACTGCCTTGTGGTTATGAATACAGATCTTGTGTTCTAAGACAATCACTTAAACTTCCTAAGTCTCTTGTCTTTATTTTGGTAAACGAGGACAGTAATATTACGTATCTCCTAGTATTATAATGAATGTGAAGTGCTCCAGGTTGAGCTGTTGTTCACCATCTTAGCTGTAGAGGGCAGTGTCACTGGTCTGCATGTGGGATCCGAACCGGGGCTCTGAAGCTGTCACATTACAAGTGTTCAGTGAATGTCAGCATTGGGGAATTAGCAGCTAATACAGGTTCGCAGGTTTACAGAAAAGTCACCGACTGGGCTGGGCTCACTCTTGGTTCTGTTTGCTTCTTTCCTCAGCCCCTGCCCTTCACTGAGAGGGAGCCCAGGTGATGGCATCCATGGCCCTGAAAGCCTGGCACCAGGTGAGCCATGAATCCCTCGGGTCAGCCTTCAAGAGATCTGATTTGAAGGAAGTGAGGGATGAGAGGGGTGATCCTGGCAAAAGTGTTAGAGCCAAAGCAGCAGGAAGGCCCCGGTTAGCCCCACCTCACCGCCACCCCCTACACACCCCCAGTGTTACTGGATGCTGAGGAGAGAGAGCTGATGGTGACAGACTGAGCAGCCAGAGACTCAAGGGCCCAGGAAGCGATGGCTGGAGAGAGTGTCCTGGGAAGCAGAAGTACAGCCCCCTGCGCTGTGAGCATTCCTGCTGAGCTAGTGGGTCCCCATGTTCAGTAGCTCCCTCCACAGAGGGACCTGTGAGAATGAGAGATTCAGACTGGTGGTGTAGATATCCAGTATTCAGTAGGACTGATCAAGATCAGCAAGGTCACAAGGTTCTTAGGAAGAGGGGGCAGAGGGATGGCAGGAGGAAGACAGCAAGAAAGGGGGCCTGTACCACTTGTCCTCCAAAAAGAGTGAAATTTGGGGGCTCAGGATCAATGAGAGAAAGAGCTGGTCCAGGAGGGGCACATAAATGGTTTTTCAAGAGTCATTACTTATAATTGAGGGTAGCAACATGTTGCAATATGAAATTTGATACTAGGTGGCAAGAAATTTAATTTTAATTAGATTTTCCATTAGCCCTCAGTGACATTGTGGCCTGGAGCCCAGTCACTTAACCTCTTTGTGCCTCAGTTGACTTCATTGGTCAGATGGCAGCAATATGGCCCAGGTTAGGGAGACTTTCCCTCTTATTACTGTTTTTCCTGCATCCCAATAATTTTTTTTTTTAAAGATTTTATTGGAGAATTGAGGGAGGGGAACAGTGCTGGGGAATCGGGGAAAGGGGAACAGACAAGTTGCTGTCCTTTTGTTCTTCAGTCTAGTTGTGGAGGACATCGCTTCACTGGTCCATGTTGGTATTATCATTGCACTCTTCCCGGGTGAGGCAGATCAGTCGCCGGCTTCTGGACGGCCGCTCACAGTGGCTCTTGGCAGCTCACACCAGCTGCCAGCCACACATGGTAGCTTATGGCAGCCCACTGCAGCAGGGGCTGCAGCCTATGCCATCGCTGGCGACTCATGGCAGCCCAGCTCCAGGTTGAGCTGTTGTTCACCATCTTAGCTGTAGAGGGCACAGTGTCACTGGTCCGCATGTGGGATCCGAACCGGTGCCCTGCTGCTCAGCGCCAGCTCTTAACCAATGTGCCACTCTGCCGGCCCCCCAATAATTTTGATAGGATGTATTTTCATTCTCATTTGTTTCTATGTATCTTTTGATCTCCTCTTATTTCTTCTTTGACCTAGTCATTCTTTAAAAGTGTGTTGTTTAATCTCCACATATTTGTAGTTTTTTCCGCTTTCTTTTTGTAGTTGGTATTCAATTTTAAAGTCTTGTGATCAGAGAATATGCTTGGTATATGATTTCAATCTTCTTAAGTTTGCTGAGGCTAATTTTGTGGCCCAACATATGGTCTATCCTTGAGAATGTTCCATGTACACTAGAAAAGAATGTATAGTCTGATATTCTAAGATAAAGTGCTCTATAAATGTCAATTATGTCCATTTGGTCTAATATGTCATTTAGGGCAGATATTTACTTACTGATTTTCTGTTTGGATGATCTATTCCTAGCTGTGAATGATGTATTTAGGTCCCCTACTATAACTGTGTTTTGGTCAATTTCTCCCTTTAATTCTGTTAGTAGTTGCTTTGTATATTTTTGTGCTTCCTGATTGTAGGCATATATATTGATGAGAATTATGTCTTCTTGTTGTATAGTCCCCTTTATCATTATAAAATGTCCATCTTTGTCTCTTGTTACCTTTTTTATCCTGAAGTCTGTTTCTTCTGATATAAGTATGGTTACACCTGCTTTTCTCTGGATACTATTTGGTTGGAGTATCAGTTTTCACCCTTTCACTTTGAGTCTATATTTGTCCTTGTAACTGAGATGCATCTCTTGGAAGCAGCAAATGGCTGGGTTTTGTTTTGTCATCCAATCTGCTATTCTATGCCTTTTTATTGGTGAGTTCAGATCATTTACATTTAGGATGATTATTCTATATGAGGATTTCCTATCATTGTTTTTTTTTTTTTTTAGCTGAGCCATCCTGTCACCTGTTGTCAGCTCAGCAGCAGCTCAGCTCAGCTCAGGTCAGGAAATGAACCGGTGACTCTGTTGCTCAGAGCTCGCACTCTTGAGTGAGCTCTTAACAAACTGAGCCACTCTGCTGGCCTTCCTATCATTCTATCTTTTGTTTTCTGGTGGCTCAATGTCTCCATTGTCTCTTTGCCTTTTTGTTGCTGTCTGTTATTTTAGTGTGGTAGTATTCTAAGATTTCTTCTTTTTTTATGCTATATTTCTTAGTTCTGGATTTTTTTTGTTTGTTTGAGTGGTTACCATTAAGTTTATGTAAAGAAAGTTTCATATATACAATAGTCCTTTTTCTTCAGCATGCTTCTTATCTCCATTCCCCTTTGCAGGTTCAGACTTTAACTCTCTTTCCTTTCATGTTTTTGTTGTCACAAGTTATTCCTACTTATACTGTGAGTTGATTTCTGAGTTGCACTAGCAAGTTGTCTTTTTCTTCTCTTTTTTCTTTTTATTTTAAATGTTTTTTTTCTTCTTTACCCTTTATGTTATGTTTAAGTGGATAGTACCTTATTTTGTGTAGGGGGTTGCCATTTCCTTCTTCTGTCTGTTCATAATACTGCTCATGGTTTTATATTCTTTTATTTTTTAAAGACTTTATTGGGGGGTTGGGGGAGGGAACAGCATTGGGGAATGAAGGAAGGGGAACAGACAAGTTGCTGTCTTTTTGTTCTTCAGTCTAGTTGTGGTGGACGTCGCTTCACTGGCCCATGTTGGTATTGTGATCATTGCGCTCTTCCCAGCTGAGGCAGATCGGTCGCCAGCAATTGGATGGCTGCTCGGTTCACGGCAGCTCACGCCACCAGCCGCTCACGCTGGCTGCAGGCCACTCACGGTAGCTTACGGCAGCCCACTGTAGCCCCACTGCAGCCTACGCTGTCGCCAGCAACTCACGGCAGCTCAGCTCCAGGTCGAGCTGTTGTTCACCATCTTAGCTGTAGAGGGCAGTGTCACTGGCCCATGTG